TTAACAATGTAAAGACAAAACGTTAATGTAGAACCAGCATATGTACAATGAAGGAAAGGATAAAAAAAAATGTTCCTCTCTAAACACTCAGTTGAAAATTAAGCCAAAAAAATTTCATTAAGCAGTTGTTATTTTTAAGAATCTGATTTTGGCTAAAAGTTGACGCGTTACAAAAAGATTACACAAATATGTGTTCAGTCTTCACAAACAAAATGTTCAGAAAACTTAACATGTGTTAATACAGATAGAAATATATAGTACATAAATAGCGTAGATAAATCTTTAGTGCTTTAATTATTTAAACAAAGATATTTTTGGTTTTATTAGCGTTAATCAAACCAGGCTAATGTTAGATTTGTTCTCTAACTAGCATGCTGTGACACTGTAAAAAAAAACAAAAAAAACGAGCTTTTTTGTTTTGCGAAAACAAAAACTTTCTGAAAATTACTGCTAACTTTTAATCATTTTCAGAAAACTGGACAGAATGTATATTTCTAGGTGTGATAGGACGCCAACACTACAGAAGCTAGCTTGAAGGTAAAAATGTAACAGGACAACATGGAAAGACAATGCAAATGTTTTAAAGAGTAACGACAAAAATTGGTACCAGCTATTCTAACAGTTCGAAATCTTAATTTGCACTATTTTAGGCTTTTGATGCTAGCCTAACAGTCGTCGCAAACACAACTGTGTTCATTATCCTGACATGGAGACCGTAAAAAATTCCTACCACAGAAATATTTCAGTATTATTTGGTTATTGTTTAATCATGATTTTTACCTTTAATATTGCAAATCTAAGCTCATGTTAAGGTCTTTATCTAACTAGCGGGATTTACAGATTTAGACCAGAGGTCATCAACGCGGTACCTGTGGGCACCAAGGGGCCCACAGGTACCGGATCACATGGGCCGCCCTCGGCTTCTTCTGAAAACAGAACAACTCACCAGTGGCCTTAGTTAGAAATTGTATTCATACTGCTCTTCATTTATACAGCACTTCATCATATTAGCCATAGATTTGAAAATGTAAATATTTAAAAGAAAATCAAAAATGTCAAGTTTACAATTGAATGTGTTTATTATGGATGAAGTTTAGGTGAATGCTGACCCCTCCACCTCATAGGTCAGTATTGGTAGCCTTTCCTATGACTCAGTAGCCATGAAGTAGCCCTCAGCCTTTAAAAGGTTTGTGACCCCATAATTTAGACGAATTTTTTAAAATAAACCACTCTGTTTGGGTAAACCAAAATAAACTACTAATAACAGCAACGTATATTTTAAACAGAAAATCAGTATAAATGTTTAAATTTTACACTTATCGAGGATTTTAGAACCGAGCTTAGGTTGGAGGTTAAAAATTACGGAAAAAGTGTAAATTTAAGACTCAAAATTAGATTTAAAGACTTCAATTAGCCTCCATAATCCATTCTGTGACATACTCATACTTTAAATAAAAATGTACCCATCATTTCTTTTAAAACAGAATAGATTAGTAGAAAAATCAGACATAAAGAAGCTTGTTGGGAAAATAAAATACATTCAGGAATGACAATTTGAGCTTTCAGTATCAAATGCAGCTTAAATGTTCAACTTAAGTCCGTGTTGTTAATCACACCAGACTGCCTCCCTTTTATCTAGTACAATTTCAACGCTAAATTAAACCTTTCAAGATATCGAATTCTTTGGTAAAACTTACAAATCATTTTTCCTGACTCTTTCGGTGCATTTCTTCACTCTTTAAGGAATCCTAACATTTATTTAAATGCCTTGCACAGAATGTCAAAAAGTACAAGAAAAATAAAAATAATAGCAGAGCTTTCATAGTAGCCATGAATACATACACTGAATTATTGCACCAAATGTACCAATTCTAAATTATTACCAAGAGGAGCAACTAAATACAGTTACAGTACAACTCACAGTTGCTCGTACTAGTCTTAGCCTATACCATGCTTTTGTGTTGTATATATTGCGTGTATATGAATAAGAAAACACATAAATACAATAAAATAAACTTGACAGTAATGAATGGGACATACTACGTACTTCAGACGCCTGTTAAAGAATGTATTCTGTGTACACATCTGTAGATCTAATCTGTTCACAAATTGTAGTAGAAGCAGGAGTTTAAAGGCTTATGATGGACCAAAAACACAGTAAATAGTAAGATCAATACATAAATATGACTGGAGCTTATTTCTAACTAAAAAAAAATTATAATAAAAAAATTTATTAATGTATTCTAGTTGTAAGCAATGATTTCTTTGTAAGAGTATGATTAGATTGTAATGAATCTAATGTTACAGGATAAGGAGAAAATTAGCATTATAGGATTATTTCATATGATCAGAAAAGCAGAAACTTGCTTTAGGCCATTAGTTTCGATAATAACACAAGTTGACAAAAAATGTTGAGAGTACGTTTAATTGCTCTGGCTGCAGTCCGACTGAGGAAGCAGTACGTTATAAATAAATCCGTAAAAGCTCATTTTACTTGGTTTAGATTAAAAATTATCTAAGGTACAGATTGGTGACAAAACCAAGAAATACAAGGTGTCCCTTCTTTTTATATTTCCCACATAACAGCTACAAGTTTACCATGTTGAATCAAAGACAGTTTATCATGTAACACTAGTAAACAAAAACAAGAATATTATTTCTTAACGCGATGAAAGATGGATTCATAGTTAATGTTCGTATATTTTCTGATATCAAAAAAAGCCTCTTGCTTATCTACAGCTATTTGTAATGAGGTAACGTTTATCATACTTTTCTTTTGGATGAGATAATTACACGTGGTTGCTGTGTAGAAAAGGACTGATTTATAAAATGTACAAAACCTATTTGTAGTGTAAGATACAAGTATGAGCATTGCAACACCCGAGAAAAGTGGACAGAGTCAGTGTGGAGAAACTATTTCTGTGAAGAAAGCCAGAAAAAATATTTCAAGGACTTATTTGGCAGCAGAAAACAGGACAAGAAGTTAGGAAGAAAAGCCTGCAGGATAAACATGAATCCCAATGGTTTCAAACTCACTGAGAATAATATTAAGAGATAAATACAACACTTGTTAGTTTCGAAATGACTACAAAACAAAACATGAAAAAAAGACACATAACTTATCTCTAGGCTGAGTTGTTTCAGACAATAGCATGCAAATAATACATAGAGCTTTTTGAAGCAACATTTTGAGTAACAGTAAAAAGAGAGTCCTAAAAGGCAGAGTTCTTTTGAGAGTTGTGGAGCTGCCTGAAATTGAAGTTGTTTTCTAATGCTGTTAGTTTGTAGCCGATCCCTCCACTGCATTTCTTCAATCATTAAAAAAGAGGTTCTGAAGATTTAAAATGACTTTTCTGGCTGCAAAGAAACAGGGACGTTTTTTTTCGACTTCATATACTTGCCATTTTAAACTAGCCTACAGGGCATATTTTGTATTTTAAAACCACAAAACTAAGGATGATACAAATATGAAAAATTAATTGAAAAACCTATTATATTTTTAAAAAGCAGGAAAGCTGTACTAGTTAATGATGAGGACATGTGGATCCACAGTGTCTAATTAAGTATTGAGGTTAATGGGATATGGATTTTTAATAGGAGTAGTTTAAGTGTATGTGTGTTCAGATCTCAACAACAGAGAAAAGACCAAGTGAAGACTTTGATAAAAACGATCATCTACGCAGAAATTGTGTTTGATAGGACAGAGAGCTTGAGCAGGAAGTAGTGAGCAAGACCACAGATGTACACAGCTTTTGCTTGTGAGCAAAAGGTTTATAAAATTGAAAAAGTAAAATCTTTTAAAGATATTTTAACATCTTATGTGAGTGTTTGATTACAGTCTCTTGTTCAGCTTAAAATCTTTTTCTGTGTCTGAGCTAATCAAAGAGAGGATTTCACTGATACATCGCCAATGTCTTCTTTTACAGTACCCCAATTACCATGTAATAACATGGTAATAACATAGCTAGACTAGGGCTGGGTATATTCGCCAAAGTCATGAATCGATTCGATTTTGATTAATACAGTTCTAAATCGATTCAATCTGTTTTACAACAAAGTGGTTCAACTGTGTTTCAAAATACTCATGTATTCTATTTTTTCGTGTCACATTAAACACAAAGTGCAAACTTGTAAATCAGACAGTTTAAACTTGAGATGTGAACAAAACTGTCTCATAAGTGCAAACTTGTAAATCAGACAGTTTAAACTTGAGATGTGAACAAAACTGTCTCATAAGTGCAAACTTGTTTGTAAAAAGTGAAAAAGTGAAGCCCATGAGCAATCAAAAGTGACACAGCGGGGACACAGCAGACATGCTTGAGCTGCATTAGCTTCACTGCAAAAACCATATTTGCAGCGTTGTCTGTAACAACTACAGGGTGTTTGCTGGTCAGCTCCCATTTGTTAATGTCTTCAATCAACCTATCGGCTGTATTTGCAGCTGTCTGGCTTGAAGTCATGTTGAGTGCATCTGTCCTGCTCATTTGAATATGAACGTCGCGCACGTCACTATAAAACAAATCAATCTCATTCTCTAGACTTTGATTCTGAAAAAATGTAAAGGAATCAATTCAAAATTGATTACCGGTAAATAAATTTTTTTCCCCAGCCCTAATAAGGACACTATATTACTTGGTAACAAGAAAAACTTTATTAAATTAAGGCATATAATTTCATATTGATTATCTGCATGCAATTATTACAATTCTATGTTATATATATAACAGTTTCTAAATCTAAGATGTCTAACTTTACCTGTCCGCTTAAAATTTGAAACAGCACTTACTAACATTTCTTGTTAGCCAGTAATATAGTATAACTTGCCATGTTATTACATAGTTATTGATGTACTTTAAAGGAAAGCGTTACTGATGTCTAAACTTCAAGCCCCCATTTTCCTCCACATGTCGTCATGGCTTAAAAAAAATACTTTTTAGGACCAGATTGTTGAAAAAAAAAATTTAGTGCTGATGGATTGAAAGATTTAAATGTGAATTTGGCAGCTATATTACTGTAAAGAAGTTAAACACACTGCATAAAACACATACAGATTATGTAGAGATAAATGGTACATACCAAAAATGAAAATATGTCCTGTTATGCAACAATTAAGTTTGAAATAATCATAATGTTTAAAATCAGACATTGAAGATTAAAGACAGACTGAGTTTGTAACGGACTGCTTTTGAATTCCTCCTTATGGTTCCGGTTTAATAGGTCTCCAAATCCCGGCACTAAGATAATGGTTGTCCTGATTTCACCTCTCTGGGTAAATTACCCTGTAAATATTAACTTTAGTGATTCAAATTTAAGCTGCAGATTTTGCCATCTTTACTTATGTCTCGAATGGACATTACATCATTCACTGATAGGAATTTTGGCATTCCAGTCGTGAATTATCACCCCTAAACAACTTTTAGCTTCATTTTCAGCAGCCTCAATGCAGTTTTTTTTCCTTTTGCAACTTTTTAAAACATTTCTAAATTGCTTTAATGAAAGTGAATATAACAGACAAGCAAGAACACAACAAACAACACAATTAAATATTTCCTTGAAATGATAAGAGTAACAAAAAATAATATTCGTCAAATATATTATATCAATTATACCATCAAAATTAGAGATAAGAGGAGAAGTATGTTGAAAAAATGTAAAACTCTTTTTTTTTTTTTAGGTCAGGCAGTTTCCCACGTTTCTTCAAAAGTTGCTTTTGTTGGCAGCAATGCACACCCAAATTCATTTTCCTTAACTTGTTTTAAAATGCTACACATAAGTCTAAAATGAAGCTGCTACTGTGACTGCTTAATGAACAGCCATCTTTGTTCCCATGAAAAACCCTTGATGAATCTATAAGAAATATCAAACGTTAGCACTGAGGAACAAACTGGAGATCAACCCGGTGACAGGAGCACAGAATGACAGCAAGACAAATATATTTTAAAAAATGTCATCTCTGCCCAACAAGGAGAAGCAGTGTTTCTAGCTGTGAGCAGCTCAGGGTGAAGCAGAAACAGGGCAGAGCCTTTCCTCGTTACCTGGCTTCTCTTTGCAGGAAGGTTCACAGAGGATTTCTTTGTGTGGTATTGGGTAGGGGAACGCCGCTCCGCTGCAGGCGCTGCTGTAAGCCAGTTTGTTGAGTCTGGACAGGCCTTTGATGCTGCCAGGAGGCCGTCCAGGGCTTACTTTGTATCCCGCGGCTCTGGTCGTGCCCAGCGGCCTTCCCGGGCTCGTCTTGAACCCCGCGGCTCTGGTGGTGCCAAGGGGTCGTCCGGTGCTGGTTCTGTATCCGGCCAGCTTGGTGGTTCCCAGCGGCCGGCCTCGTCTGCCCGTCTTCCCAGCACCTTTGGTCTTTTTCTTAGCATCATTGGGTGTTTGCTCTGAGCCTTTTAAGCCAGGTACCTTTCCAGGTGAACGTGGGTCTCCTCCCAGAATATCCTGTCTGTGACACACCATCGGCTTATGGCTCTGGGTGGGTAAGGCCATGGGGGCCAGTGTCATCTGAAGGGAGGTAGGAGGGGGGGGAGGGTAGAACTTGTTGGGCTGCGAGGTGCAGAGTTCGAAATGAGCAGTAGGGTGCTGGGCATCCTCTGCCAGGCAAGACGGCCTGCTGCTCATGCAGAAGTCAGTGGTGGTCACCTGGCGCATCATCTTTTGCTGGGGGTCAAAGCAACAAGTCATTACTGCACAAGACAGTCTGTGATGTTTCTATTGTACAAAGTGAGGACAAAACTAAAAATTGAAATCATGCAGAGCAACTCATTTCAGCAATATCCACCCTATTTATTTTTATGGACATTTGATCTGCTAGTATTTTGACTAATTTAATCTTGGTATAAATCCAGCTATTCTGAATTCTTCAGAAGTTTGCTAAAGAGCAGAGTTCTGACCAAACATTGGAGACTCCATCACATCCCACCAGTCGGTAAATTACTGTAAAGTCTCCCTGATAGCGTTTAAAGCCTTAGTTATAGTAACTACAGCTCTGAATGATCTTGGGTATATAGACAGATGTTAGATTTGCTGAACTAAACAAGGGGAGGAACCATTTAGACTTATTGCTGATAAAGGTTCTCAGTCATCCAGGTCGTAGTCATTCAAAAAAAAAAACGCAAAAAACAATCCACTGGACTTTGTTTCCAGGTTTGAAGACGTTTTACTTCCCATCCAGGAAGCTTTTTCCAAGTCAAAATGTCAGGAAGAGCGTTGAGTTTGAAGTTTTAAACTGAGGTTTTATACGGTAAAAACAGTTCTAGGTTTTATACATTATATATTAAAACACTATTCCTGACATTTTGAATAAGAAAAAGCTTCCTGGATGGGAAGCCAAACGTCTTCAAACTTGGAAACAAAGTCCAGTGGATTGTTTTTAATTTTCTTTTTTGGAATGTAGACTCTATGGGGCTTGGATCAGATCATCCCAGTGTGATACCCTGAATGTTTTTATATTTGCAAAAAAATATTGACAAGGCAAATGTATTAATGTGGCACATTAAAATAGGAAGGCAATTCAAAGTGCTGTACATGGACAAAAGAATATAACAGGAAAACAGAGAAAGTACATTGCGGAGGTAATTGAATAATTAATAAATACTAATAATTCAAGTGATAATATGACAGTAAATATTAATTTATTTTATGTTATTAATTTATGTTAAATTCAAAGGAAGATGGACTACAGACGCAATGATGATTAGATAGCGAGTTTGTTCCAGATTAGTGGAGCATAAGAATTAAAGTTATTTCTTCCTGTTTGAATCTGGGTACGCAGATTAGATCTGAACCCAAAGACCCGAGATGACTGGATGGTTGATACACTAATGAGTAGTCTGTAAATATTTGTTTACATTAAAACAGAAGGTAAATAGTCATTAAGATGCAGCTAACACACTGTTTTAGTAAATAAAGGAGCAATTTTAAGTATTTCCCTGAACAATAACAACTCATCTGTTTTGCTCTGATTTAAAATCAGAGGAAACTCAGATACATTAAGGACTGTAACTTACTGTTTGGTATTTTCATATATATAAAAATAATAATAATAATAATAATAATAAAGAAAGCAAATTAAAGTGGGGTTGGTAAGTCTACTGATGAAAAACATATACATCGGATTAATCGTGATAATTGATTATTGAAATAAACGTCAATTCATTTAGTAATCAATTAACTGTTAACTGGAGAGTAGAGTCCGTAGAATATGCCTTTAGCTGTCATTTTGCATTCAAGATTAAAAAAAATTATAATAATTTTGCCTGTCAATATGCTCTACAGGTGCTGGTCATAAAATTAGAATATCATGAAAAAGTAGATTGATTTCAGTAATTCCATTTAAAAAGTGAAACTTGTATATTATATTCATACATTACATACAAACTCATATATTTCAGATGTTTATTTGTTTAATTTTGATGATTACAAATGACAACAAATGAAAATCTCAAATTCATCATATCAGAAAATTAGAATATTGTGAAAAGGTTCAAAATTGATGGCCCCTGGTGCCACACTCTAATCAGCTAATTAACTCAAACCACCTGCAAAAGCCTTTAAATGGTCTTTCAGTCTACTTCTATAGGCTACACAATCATGGGGAAGACTGCTGACTTGACAGTTGTCCAAAAGACGACCATCGACACCTTGCACAAGGAGGGCAAGACACAAAAGGTCATCGCTAAAGAGGCTGGCTGTTCACAGAGCTCAGTGTCCAAGCACATTAATAGAGAGGCGAAGGGAAGGAAAAGATGTGGTCGAAAAAAGTGTACAAGCAAGAGAGATAACCGCACCCTGGAGAGGATTGTGAAACAAAACCCATTCAAAAATGTGGGGGAGATTCACAAAGAGTGGACTGCAGCTGGAGTGAGTGCTTCAAGAACCACCACACACAGACGTATGAAAGACATGGGTTTCTGCTGTCGCATTCCTTGTGTCAAGCCACTCTTGAACCACAGACAGCGTCAGAAGCGTCTTGCCTGGGCTAAAGAGAAACAGGACTGGACTGCTGGTGAGTGGTCCAAAGTCATGTTCTCTGATGAAAGTAAATTTTGCATTTCCTTTGGAAATCAAGGTCCCAGAGTCTGGAGGAAAAGAAGAGAGGCACTTCATCCACGTTGCTTGAAGTCCAGTGTAAAGTTTCCACAGTCAGTGATGGTTTGGGGTGCCATGTCATCTGCTGGTGTTGGTCCATTGTGTTTTCTGAGGTCCAGGGTCAACGCAGCCACATACCAGGAAGTTTTAGAGCACTTCATGCTTCCTGCAGCTGACCAACTTTTTGGAGATGCAGATTTCATTTTCCAACAGGACTTGGCACCTGCACACAGTGCCAAAGCTACCAGTACCTGGTTGAAGGACCATGGTATCCCTGTTCTTAATTGGCCAGCAAACTCTCCTGACCTTAACCCCATAGAAAATCTATGGGGTATTGTGAAGAAGAAGATGCAATACACCAGACCCAACAATTCAGAAGAGCTAAAAGCCACTATTCGAGCAACCTGGGCTATCATAACACCTGAGCAGTGCCACAGACTGATCGACTCCATGCCACGCCGCATTGCTGCAGTAATACAGGCCAAAGGAGGCCCAACTAAATACTGAGTGCTGTACATGCTCATACTTTTCATGTTCATACTTTTCAGTTGGCCAACATTTCTATAAATCCTTTGTTTTTATTGGTCTTCAGTAATATTCTAATTTTCTGATATGATGAATTTGAGATTTTCATTTGTTGTCATTTGTAATCATCAAAATTAAACAAAATAAACATCTGAAATATATGAGTTTGTATGTAATGTATGAATATAATATACAAGTTTCACTTTTTAAATGGAATTACTGAAATCAATCTACTTTTTCATGATATTCTAATTTTATGACCAGCACCTGTATTCACAACTCCTCAAGTGGAAAACCTTTACTGGAAAAATTTCACCTGGTTTAATTTCATTAAAAAATCTTCTTTAAGGAACCTTTGTCTATCCGATTACTATTTGATTAATCGAAAAAAATTATCGACAGATTAATCGAACTGCAAAATATTCGTTAGTTGCAGCCCTAGTTTTAAAACGTTTTGTAAACAGGAAAAAACATAACTTCTTCATTCAGAATTTTTGATCAAACGGTTGTTGCATTTGTTACTTCAGATGAACTGATTTTCTGTCGGCTTAGTTGTTTAATCAAACACAGCCTGTATTCTGCTGCTCCTGGCTTCCATACTTAAGTTTCAAAACAACATATTCTCAATCATCACCATAGGTGGCGCTGTTTCCTTTTATAACACCATGACTAATAAGTGTGTTTTCCAAACAGCCAGCTTACAGGCAGTGTGCAGTCTCTATATATTCTTCCATCACCGGCATCTAAGCCTCTTAACTCCCTAAAAAACCCTGAGATATCAACATTGTTTAATGCATTTTTACTTTTACATCGACAAATGATGTGCATGTTATTTCCCTGTCCCATTTTCTGAAAATGTCAGATCTTTCCATGTATGCAATGCTCAAAATGACACTCGTATTAAATTGTGGTTGTCCCTCTAAAATCTGTTTGCTAATGAAACAGTGTATGGAGTGATTTTTCTGCCAAAAACCATCCATCCATCCATCCATCCATGCCACTAGCGCTGTGTGGAGATGCAGGGGAAACCGTATCTGATGGGAAAACGCAGCTCGGCGTAACACCGGTTTCAGGTGTTTTGATCGTATGGCGCCTCCTGCTGTCGATTGTCAGAATGACAATTCTCCATGAATCATGTGACGTTTGGCAGAAACTTACCGCAGAGTGTGAAAGGAGATCGTTTTGTACTCGGGGGACAATTTACAAATTATATTTTCAGTGCAATGTTAGAGTCCGTTTTGTAAAACTAATTTTTGTGTGTGCGCAACATTTAAGGACAGTTTAAAAAAAAAAATTTTTTGTGTGTGACAGATGAGTGTTTATAGCACAAGTTTTATTTGTGAACAATAAGATTTATTTGAGTGCAACATGTTTATTTGTGAATTATAAGATTTGTTTGTGTGAAACATGCTTTATGCATTTGCAACATGCTTTATGTGTGCGCAACATGCATTTTTGCACACAACGTTTTGGCAGAAAAATCACTCCATACCAGTGACCCAGTTGTCCTAGAGAACATAAAAAAAACACAAGATAAGTGCAGATTTACCCTCCAGAAAATCCTAAAAATCATAAATGTAGAATCACAGGGATACTGGGAATAAAATTAACTTAACATTTTAATCTGTAAACATTTTGAGTCCATCGAGAAAATAAACAATAAGATATTTTTAAATGACTAATGAGAGGTGTTCTCTGTGCTGATGAAGAGGCAGCACTGTCAGATAAAAGACACAATCTTTAGTGCTTTTCATTCACAAAAACGCGCACATGGATTCCGCATCTTTGCGGCCAGACACAAAAACCCATCCGTTACCCCGCTGCAACACTTCGGCCCGGAAAACGGCCCAGCAGAGGCGGGCGGCTCTAAACCCTGACATCCTCATAAAAAACACGGGTTGTTAAAGTCCTGTTAGAATAAAGACAGAAACACTAAACCCCACCTTTCCTGTAAGAACGAGCTCTCTGGTTACTGTACCTCGATTGTTCGCTGATCTCGGAGCAGAGGAGAAAAACGATCTTTCATCCATCAAAGCGGGAGTCGATCCATTTTCCTCACTTCTCTTTCACTTCACGGCTCGGTTCGGCTCAGCGTGAAGTCAAACACATCGAATCGGTTCGATGTGAGGCCGGGAAAACGTCTCCGTCCTGCGGGGTTGCTTTATTTCTCAGCTCCGGCGGTTTAGTTAAGAAACGCAGCCATCTTCCATTAAATATTAATAAGAGTAGAGATCTGCGCATGCGCAGAGCTGCTGAGCTTTTCCAGTCTCTCTCCCATTAATCAGCTTGTCTGAAACACGAACCTGTGGTTATGCTTAAAAGAACAAAGATGATGTGAAGGGTTGCTTTTATTTTATTAGGCTCTGCTGTGAAGTAAATATCAAATGACTCGATTTAAGTCTAAGAAGATTTACAAAGCAAAAATGTGGGAATTCAGGGGGGTTTTTTTTGATCCACATCATTTGGCCCAAACTAAAGCGACTCCCAAACAGAACTACAATATTGTCCAGCAATTCAACAGACAGGGAAATAATAGCATATTTATTTCATTTTTACATTTCCAATTATACATTTTAATATCAAAGAATGCAACAAAAAGCTTTCAGAAAAATCTCAAGAAAATAAAAAGGTCAGAACCAACCTGGTCCATCTTTTTTTTTTTTGCAAAAAAATATTTTTGTAGCTAATAATCTAAGACAGGGGTCTTCAATGTTTTCCAGGCTAAGGACCCCCAAACTGATGGCGAGATGGAGCGGGGACCAACTAATTATATTTATTGTATGAAATTGTGTTATATCAAACTGGTCCTATAGTCACTGTACTACATAGGGAGTAATGTAACGAAAGTAATTTCTCCCTGGGATTATTAAAGTATTTCTGGTTATGATTCCTGGTTGATGGGACAGGTGTTGTGAATGAAACCGTGCCCACAGTGAAAGAGGTCCTGTGTGTCGCTGAATGTGTGCATTGATGACTGAAAAACATCTCCTGCCTCCATTTATCTGTGTTGAATTCATGTTAATTTGTATGTGAAGACATTTCAGTTATTGGAAAAAATTGCAGGGGGGTGTATAAAAAAAAAAAAAAAAAAAAAGTCTAATCAACCAAAACTTTCGCGAGCCCCATGCAGTACTAATTCAATAAGTGTTTTTTAAATGACTTATTGAAGGATAACAGGTTTTCTCTAATTAAAACTGTAACAAGCCTATTGCATAAAAAAAAGGTTAAATTGTAATTAGACTTTACTCCCCTATGCTTTTCCAAGTTCCTCTTTTAATTTTTTTTACCTTGTAACCAGATTTTTTTCATCCCAATAATCTCATGACAGAATTAAAGCCCTCACCCATTGCTAAAAAGTACTAGTAATTTCTTTTTACATCATCAAATAAAAACCAAAGACTAAATCTGAAACAAAAAAAGAAGACATAAGATCAAAGCAGGCTTCTAAGATTCATTTAAATGAAACGGCACAGTAAGTTGGCTCTGTTGCCGCAGACACATCTGTATCCCTGCTTATAAATAATATAAAAACCGAGGCCTAATGAATAATTAACAATAAAATCTGAGCACACTGTGTATGTTTCTTATGCAACAAGAAATATGAATATTTTTTTGTTTACTTTACTACATAAAGAAATCTTTTAATTTTTTCTACAAAAATTTGATTTAAGCCATGTTTTCAACATTTTTGTTTAAAAAAAATCCCTTAGACAGTTCTTAAGAGAATTGTGCTGCTTTAATGTTAAATTTGAAACAAGTGACGCACATGAGAGGAAAATGCAAACTAAATTATCAATGAAACATTAAAACACAAATTAAAATATTCAATATCCACTTTGATGAAACTGTACGATGATTTGTGAAAATTCCTCCAATTAGCCCCGGTTCCTCCTCTACAAGACCTTGTAGCGACCTTTGCTTGTTGGCTGGTAGGAATTTTGCTAAAGGAAAGAAAAAAAACAAAAAAACAGAGTCAATTAGATATTTTAAAGACTTCAGACTATAAAAGATAATTATCCGTGAAAATACATACTAATCTGATGAGCTCTTCTTTTATTAGCCGGGTAATCTCTGTTTTGGCTTTCTGCACAGCCAGTTCACTTGCACCTTGAACAAAATAGGAAATCTCAGTCATGATGTGAAGTTTTACTAGTTAATGCAAAAATAAGATATGGATTCGTTGTCATCCTCCGCCCCATGTTAGTGCCTCTGAATATAAACCAGTCATCAAGTAGAATTTTTTTCCCACCATCATCCAAACAAATTGATTAAATCTTATGTTGTGATTGAGCTGGTGTCTTAAAACCCAGGTATGACATGTTACAGGAGTAAAAAACATCTTTGTTACCTAATAAACCTTTGAAACAAGATCAGCTTAAGATCAAAGTTAATCTGAATTTTGACACTTTTAGAAATCATAAACTTAAAAAAAAAAAACAAGATCTGCATAGTTTATATAAGATTTGGGGAAAGAGGTGTGTATGTATTTGTTTCCCCATTCAGACACAGGATAAGAGATATTTCAATAAGTGCTAAATAACCAATATATTCTGACAGCACAGCTTTAAATCTGCTCTTTGATACATACTCTCAATGGCCAGATAGATTTTGCGTTCTCCCTCCTTAGGCTCTTTGCCTGGAGGGAAATATGTCCCTCTGATGGTGATGGCAGCTTCGGAGTATTCCCCGATCCTCTGCAAAGCCTCTTTGGACGTCACTTTCCACCTGGCCGTCTGGAAAACAACAGAAACAGATTTTCTGACTTTATTTTTGCAGGTTGAAAGTTAAGACTTAAGTTTTTCAGCAAAAAATTTCCAGCTTCTAATAAAATAGCAGAGAAGTTGCCAAGCTAACCTTTTATTGGTTGGAGTATATGCTGATATAGAACTGCCTCTCCCACCTGTTAGCTGGCTGCCATAAAATCACCTACTTATAACCAGCTAACGACTGGCTATACTATCTTTGTTACTCCTTAAAGAGCAACAGGAGAAAATATACAATTCCGTATTTATTTAATAATTTTCTATAATATAATAGTGTATAGCTTAAGATTAAACTGATGTTATACAACATACTGGTACGTTAATAATCAATATGTGACTGTATTTGGGGAGTGGCAGCCTATTGGTTAGAGAGTAAGATGTTTGTGTCCTAAAGAGGCTGAAAGATGATCGGTCTGTAACTCATACTATCACTCTGGGTCCCAGAGCAACTCCTTGTTCTCCCTTTCTTTTTCTTTAATAGATAGATAATAATAATAATAATAATAATAATAATAATAATACGTTTGGCTTTATCTTTTAATGAGAACCAATATAATTCATGTTTACTTTCAAGTTTCTCATGTAAAAACTACAGATTTCTGCCCGACAAACTAAAAAAAAAAAAATCACATTTACTCTTAATTCATATCATCACTGAGAACTTTTGCTTCTCATGCAGGGTCCCTGATCTGTGACAAGCAGATCAACTTATTAAATATGCTATTTAAACCGAGCAAACCCGAAACGGTACGGTTGAATAATTTAAAGCCAGAAGAAAGGTTTATTTTTGGAATGTATCCAAAGCTAATATGGAGAAGTTGAAGTCAAACAGGAACAGATAATTAGTAGAAGAAAAAAGGGAGTCTTAATATTTTAGATGATAGCTTGTTTCTCCATCAACAACAAAAGAGTATAACCAAAGCAAGGCTCGATGTTAACCATTGCCCGATCGCCCGGGGCAAGTAGTTTTTATTGTCGGGGAAGTACAAATTTCATTGCATTTGCCCGCCGGGCAAGTGCAATGATCGCAAAAAAAATTATGTATCACTCAAAATTACTTTAAAATCACAGACATTCGCTGAAAATGACCCACAAGCGTTGCCCGTGCCATCTTTGTTGTTTTGTACACATTCTCACTTGATTTGTGATATGAAAAATAAACAAAATAAACATTGTTTTACAGTCTTTAGCAGGATCTGGAGCAAACGGACTCAAACAGAACTATTTGACTTGCGTCAAACGTGGCTTATGTACAATTCAAAGAACCAAAGATACAAAAGACTCTGGAGAACTGGAGGCCAGCAGCAACACAGTTGTTAGAATTAGTTTGCATCCATATTTTTTTTAGCATTGGCCTCGCTGTCGGTCATAGAAGAGGTTTTATTTGAAGTTTTCAGAAAAGGCAAATGGGTCCAAATTTGGGGGTTACTACAACTTAGATGGTGAAAGGCGGAGGTAATGAACGCCCTGCAGGGTTTCTTGGGTTCCTGCAGCAACACAAGCCTGTCACCAATTTACAAGCGAATGAATGAAGTTTGACAGGATGTCTGTCCTCTGGATTAGTGGTGAGGCAAATATAGACCATATTTGACTGAACAAGTTCCTGCTGGTGTTAATATGCAGCCTCTGGCCAGCAGATCGTGTACATTTGATTTCTGCTTATTTTAAGCTCAGTTATGTATAGATTAGGTTCAAATTAAAGCTCTTACAATTTGATAGAGAAGACAAACTCACCAATATTAGTTTTTAAATTACAAATCAGGAGTGGAGCTGACCTGAGGGAAGTCGTTAATTTCCAGCTCCTCTTCATATCTCTTCACAGTCTCCGCCTGTTCAGCCGCCTGCCGCTCCTCCTCCAGCTTTTCCACGGGTGTGTAGTTCAGTTTGGCGTTGATCTTCTCCGCCAGCTGCTCCGCGATGGTTTTGGCCGACACGGACGGCGTCATGATGGGGTCGCCGCGGAGGATGGCGTTGGTGGCCTGCTGCATCACGTCCTGTACACATAAAGGAAAACTATTTGATGCAGATTGTGATAACAGGACTGGCGGAAAGGGGGAAAAAAATATCAATATGCTGCAGAGAGTAGAAGAAACTTCTTTTTCTACTGACAGCACCACTACAGAACCTCTACATAAAACCTACCTGAGCCTCGGCGCCCAGGTTCTTCTGAGCATTGATCTTGAGAGCGAGCCTTTTAGCCATCTCCAGTTTCTGGTTGTTTCCAGCAGACGTTGGAGCGATGCCTCCCACCCCCCCAGGTGCTGCTCCTCCGGCGCTAACTGCTCCTCCTGCACCGCCAGCTGCGCCAGGAGCAGACAGGTCCTTCACCCTCTTCTTGGAGTTGAACATGCTTTCTATTTGCTCCTCAATCTGAGGAAAGAAAAGTTTTGCACCGATGTTTCATGGCTGCAAATCATTTAAAAGGACGAAAGAACAAAAGGCAGTTTCTCACATCCAAGGCTCCATCTTCGTCATCGGAGTCCTGCAATCCAAGTGCAGCTTTCTGTAGCTTCTTCCTCTCATTGGCCAGGGCGTGTTCTGTCTCATCAAACTTAAATCCTTTCCCTGAGAAGCCGCTGCTGCTCTTAATCACCTTACCCTCCTGCATAGAGGAATGGAGAAAATATAAAGTATTGAAACATGAAATGTTCAGAAGTAGTTTATGAAGAAGCTTGATATGTATGCTGGCACTTTATCTCACCGCTTTTTGCTGATCTTTAAAGGAGCCCCAAAGCTGCTCCAGTTCCGGTGGAACAGGGGAGCCTGACAGCTCCAAGGCCTTGATGATGTCACCAGCGTAGCGGACCTGGTCCTCTGTGATGAAGGTGTAGGCGTAACCCTAAGAGGTGGAACAAGATGGAGAAGACACAAAAAGGATAATTTCTCTATGAAGCAGATATAAAAATTTAAAAACAGTTTATATATCTTGATTTATATTATATTATATTTTCCCCCTCATGAGATACACATATATACATATATATACATATATATATACACATATATACATATATATATATATATATATATATATATATATATATATATATATATATATATATATATATATACATATATATACATATATATATATATATATATATAGACATGCAATTAACACAAAGTGGTGAGTAATGGAAGACAATATACACTTTGAGTTGGTCTCCAACTTCAGATTACAGAAGAATGACAGACAATTTACTGTTGGTTCACAAAAATTGGAAAACTTTTACTGTGTGGAACAACTTTAGCAATGAATTTCCTAGCAGTTATTTTGTATTTTATCGGTTTTTAATGTAAGTGAGGCTGCAAACAGCATTGTGGAACGCTGCTTTTCCTTCAATTTATTGTGAAACCGCCGGTTGCATTTAAACGCAACTATTCAAGTTAAACTTGGAAAAAGCCAATCAGTATTGCTTTCATCAACAATGACGAAAATATTTTGACGCTATTTTTTTTCATGATAAAGAGAACTGAATAGCTAAAGATGGATCTTTGATGATGAAAACATGACGAGTCGTGGGTGTGAGTTTCCGTTAACGATATGAGACTAAATAAAAATGTTAGCAGGTTGTCTGTTAGATGTTTAAAATGTATCATTGTGCTGTAAACTGTTAGACAAGCTAAGCAGTATCAGCCATGCTGCTGCGTCCTGTTTGGTCACGCCCAATGCATGACCACAGATGGATCATGGCAACAGGGGTGAAGGTAATCTGGAATGTTAAGGTACTGCGCGGTCAACTCTGACAAACTCTGCTCTTCCAGCTGTGCTTGTGCAGAAATGCTTCTGTAACCACGCTTAGCTCTAAGGCTGCGCTTTACGCTCCACACTGACGGTTCGCTCTCAGCAGTATGGCACATCCTACTCTCGCTACTTAATCTATATGGGGCTGATCATCATCTGCCAAACGTAAAAAATCCTTTTGTCTAACTATTAAGATTTTAGTTTTTGATGGTAAACCTTTAATTTCTACCAAAAGGAATCCCTAAATTAGATCCAAAGCAAATATTTAATAGCATACTGTTTATTTTTGGATAAAGACGCAGATAAAAAGTTACATAGATCTTTGAATATTTCTTTCTCATAGTTCTTGAGTCTTGCTCTCTGAATATTTTAAGATTTTAGTCAGACATTGTAGGACGGCAGCATTATAGGACGGCAGCATTGTATCTCCAGCAATTGTAGTATCTAGGCAAGAGGTGTCAGTCTGGTAAAGATTCTGGCTGTTATTCAAATTTGTAAAAGGTTAGATATTTTTTGAATATAAAAAACTGACTAAAACTAGACAAAAACCTTTTTGAGTTTTAGTCGACTAAAACTATCGCACATCATAATGACTAAAACTAGTAAAGGTTTTCATCCTGCAGATGAAAACTAAGACTAAATCTAAGATGGTTGTCCAAAACAACACTGATGTCAACGCTGCTGCAAGGATGAAAACATGAAAAAACAAGGAAGACATAAAAATACCTTAAAACTGATACCTCTGTCTGTACGTTATGCAGAAATAAGGAGCACCCAGTAAGTCTAGTTCCCCACCTGCACATGTTGCCTCCACTCATCGTAGCTGAGGGTCTGTTAAATAAATGTCTGGCTTCCTCTAAAACTTTTGGCAGATAAGCAAACTAAAAGGTTACGTAGAGTAGTGCAATGTGCAGCCAGTTAGTCTGAGCTGTGATGTAGTGAGTTTTGGGATTTCTTTGTCCTCTATTACATTGTGAGGGACCCTCAACAGACTGAAACTATCTCATTTGTTTGTCTGACAGCTGACGGACCTTGTTTCCTGCTCTGCCTGTGCGTCCTGCCCGGTGGACGTAATCCTCATAGTGGTTGGGGCAGTTATAGTTGACCACCAGGATGAGCTGCTTGACGTCCAGGCCTCTGGCTGCCACAGAGGTGGCCACCATCAGACGACACACACCAGTCTTAAAATCATTGATGATGCTGTCTCGGTCGTACTGGTCGATGCCTGAGAGGAGAAGAATAAGAAAGGGATCGTTATGAAGGACCTGACAACTTACAGGCAGGATACAGCATTTATTTCTTAAATAAACAAGCGTCCCTCTGATCTCGGAGTGAGACAGTACCTCCATGTAAAGACAAACAGGGGTATGAAGCTTTCATCAGATCTTTAAGCAGTCCGTCTGCGTGTTCCTGTTTGTCTACAAAGATGATGACAGATCCCTTCTCCTGATAGTGACCCAAAATCTCCAGCAGCTTCAGGAACTTTTGATCCTCATCAATCACCAGCTGCATGTAAAGAAAAAAAAAGATGAAAAAGGACAAAAAACAGGGATTGCATTTAAAAATAAGGAGTCGGATCTGATAGGAAAGAAATGAAAGAATCTAGAACATATTAAACTAGAAGCTGAAATGATTGGAAATATGAACTGAATGGATAATTGACTATTTACCACGTGTTGCTGCACATCAGAGCAGACAACACTGCGACCTCCAACCTGCACCTCGATGGGCTTGGCCAGGATCCTGCGAGCCAGCGCCTCCATGGCTCTGGGGAAGGTGGCGGAGAACATGACCGTCTGTCGGTCTGGACGCACATTGTCTACGATACGCATCACCTGGAGGACGACAAACAAAAAAAACTTTTTTTTTTCCTTTCTGAAAATCTGTGCATAATGAGGTAGCAGAAAACAGCCCTGCAAAAAATTCAAACTTTGGACCATAAATACAAATAGAAATTTTTTGTGATCAGAAATTATAATATTTTTTTTTTCTGAATCTAAGAAGTTTGCTTGGTGTTTCACTCCCCCCTTTATTCTGACTACTTAAAAAAAAATGCAACGGAAGACAAGAAACCACAATTTCCCGGTCTAAGAAAAAAGGCCAGTTTAGGAAATCATACAAACTCTGTATGTATAGGATACACCCACCTGTGGCTCAAAGCCCATGTCAAACATGCGGTCTGCTTCATCCAGCACCACATACGTGACCCTCCGCAGGTTGGTTACTCGCCCTAGAAGCCATAGAAGAGGAGCAAAAGGAAAATAAATCAGCTATGAGAAGGAATAACCCCACAAATAAGCAGCCTGCCTCTTTCTAGAAAACATGAAGCTAACCTAACAAACAGCCTTTTTAGACTACTTTAGATTACTCATTGTATTTATTTTTCAAAATTATTGCTTTTTTTTTCTTGGGCTGCATTTCAGATTCCTTAATTTGCTTCTCTTGTCTTGCGTACCATCTCAGGGACATGAGGGACCTGTAAAAGTCAGAAAACAGCTTCAAGATACAATACAAGAGATGGAGCCCCATCACCTACAAGGGAAACATATTACAGATTACCTCGCATGTGTGGAAACAAATAAACCCTGGTTTCATTTGTTTAAGAAAATGTAACCACTAACAACTTCTTTTATTTAGCAAACAACATTTAATCCCTTAAAAGATGATATGAGATTTAAAAAAGATGGGCGATCCAAGTCCCTGTTATGGCACAATCTAGGCAAACATGAATAATCCCAATCTGGAGTGAATGAAGCACCAAGGCCACACCACGTCCACCTACCTGTGCCCGCCCTGATCTTCAGGAAACACATCACTCTCTTGTAGATATGACTGATCCCCAAAACGGTCAAATAATGTCAACAGTTTAGTAAAAAGGAACTGATTTGGATGATAGTGAAAACTGTAACCTTTAAAGCATGCAAACTGAACACAAAGGCAGCTAATTCACATCCACCTCCTGATTTGAAAAATCATGAAGGTGGATGAACTTACCGCTGTTGGCTCCCAGCATGTCAATCATTCTTCCTGGTGTGCACACGATGATCTCCGCCCCTCGTTTCAGCTCTGCGATCTGGATTCCAAAGCACATCAATGATTGGAGAACTTCCATAGAAAGGATCTAAAAGCTAATCAGCTTCTTTCTCCTTACGTTTTATTTCCCCGTGTTCACATCATCAGTGAAAATAAAACCAACCAACCTTTTTAAAGTAGATTTGGTTCATCAGGGAACTTTCTGTTAAAAATACTAAAATAACTTTCTAAGAATAGAACAAAAATAAAATCTAGAGACAAAAGTTTTAGCTTAATAGTCCCTGCAAAACACAACAACCTGATCTAGATTCATTATTCGCATTTAGGAACACAGTATTCAATAGTATGTGTAGTATTTTCTTCCCAAAATGGCCAAATATGCAATGTTAGCTGCTGTCAAGGGATGGACAACATTTTATTTGAAAATAAACTTTAAATATTGGCTTTTGTAATGGATAGTGAACCCTTTAAATTAAGCTGCTTAAATTATTCACTTTTGTAGACTATTTAGTGCAAATTATTCATAAAGGATGTCGCATATTGTTTAATATTTGTCTGTTTTGATTAGCACTGGTGGTTTGTATTTTGTTTAATTGTATTTGCACTTTGTAAAGTTTTGTTGTTGTTTTTTTTGTTATGTACCTCACGGGCTGCCGTAGCTAAATGAGGGCAGACCCTATAAAAGCTGGCAAATCATTGTATCAATGAATGACTTCAACAAACTGTCAGAGATGTGCTTGGCAGTATCAACACTTAGCGTTCCCTGGTGAAAGCAGCGAGGTACGTTTTATTTTGTTGTTTGTGTTGTAAGTTAATGTTTCTATTCTAATATTTGTATATCTGTTTACACGGTGATTACGGTGACTGAGGTAAAACAATAGGTAGAGATGACTGATGGTCCACATCAAAGAAAAATAAACAAACCTTGGTCGAGACCGCGCATTAATTGAAGTGCTGTGGAACTGCTACAGCTTTAATGTCCAAATATTTGCATCTGATATTTTAATATTTTAAGCTAGTTTAGTTGGCAAATACTCAGGATTTAATCTGCTTTTATGCTGTTTAATTTAAATCCACTTCTATTAACTTGCCACGGTTGATTCCTCGATGTAATTGGATTCATCGTCTAAATCGTGCCTCTAATAGATTTCTTTTTGCTGATTTATTATTCTTAAACACTACAGAATGTAGTTTAAAGATCACTGGAAACTAAAGGATTCCAGGGAGTTTACCTGTTCACTAATTCCTGTCCCACCATAAACACACACCACCCGGAGCCCTAGTGGTTTGGAGAACTTCTTGCACTCTTTGGTGATCTGCAGAGCCAGCTCTCTGGTCGGAGTCATGATAACAGCTGTGAAGGAGAAACAAAGGTTAGTTTATGGCCTGCTTGAGAAGTCCAGCTGTTCTCATTTATCACATGGTGTTTGGTTTTAAACAAAACCGTTTCAAACTGTGGGACATTATTTACAAAACATTTCCTTACAGATGGGTCCCTCTCCGTCCTCCAGAGGCCTCTGGTCCATAATGTGTCGAAACATAGGAAGCAAGAAAGCGATTGTTTTGCCGCTGCCGGTCTTGGCGATGCCGATGAGGTCTCTGCCGCACATGATGGCAGGGATGGCCTGGGCTTGGATAGGTGTGGGCTTCTCGTAGCCTTGCCTGGTTTTAAAAGACGGTGGAAAATAAAACACAGATCCCTCCTTTTGAGATTTCATACAGCTCCCGACAACAAGTTCTGACACTTTACAGCGACTTGGAAAGTATTTACAGCCCTAAAAAGTTCATTTTTAATGTTGCAAATAAAAACTTCACACCTGTTCTATGGGGATTTCAGGTTATAGATCAACACAGGGTTGATCATAAATGTGAAGTAGAGGGAAATGACATGATTTCAACAAATATTCTTCAAGAAATGCCTTTCTCTTGCTGCTTTAATTTTAAATCCCATAATATCATACACAAAATGTGATGGCACTTTTAGTGGTTTCATATACATGACAAGGACCTATTAAGTATTATTCTAATTACACTCATAATCTTGTTATTTTAAGATCAAAAAAAGTTTTATGATAAACCAAAAAGTTAAAGCTGTGTCCACTTACTTCTTTAGGGAGTTGAGGATCTTCATTGACACCCCACACTGCACCCATGTCTTGATGGGTTTGGGACAACCTTTGCCTTTCACTATTATACCCTCCAGTTCCAGCCTGTATGCGTTCACATCTGTAAACAAGAAGGTACCGATTCAACAGAGAGATTTTAGATGGAGGAAGAAACTCATACCTCATTTAAAAAGCAGTACTGATGGTTTTTCAGGTAGAAATTTCACTTTAAACATTTAAATATAAACTGACCCTCTGGGGTCATCTTGGCCAGCTCAGGAACCTCCACGTAGAAGTTCTTGCGATACGACTCATACTGGATCTTAGTGTGGTCAACAGGCTCAAGAACCTTTCTCTGTTTGGTCTGAAAGCCTGTCAGAGCTGTCTGCAGGTCCACCTCCTCTTCCTCTGACGAGTACTGCCAAACACACAGTGTTAAGACAAGCAGCAGCCAAACGGTCTTCCATCTAATCCATAAGCCAACGCCGCTGTTCCAGACTCACCTCCATGGCATCTTGGTCGTTCTCCATCAGCTCCCCCTTCTTCTTGTGCATGAGGGGTTGTTTTTTGGTCTTGACTACCGTCACCACTTTGGTTACTGTAGTTGATCCTTTCTGTCAATTAAAAATTGTTTAACAATAGATTAATATTAATCTAGTGTGGCTAAAATATCTGTTGTAGTAGAAATACTCGCCTTATCGTTTCCTTTCATGGGACCTATGTTGAACTTCTTCACCTCCTGCTTGACCTCCTCCATGTACGCATCCAGAGGATCCACTTCATCCTCTTCAGGCTGCTGCTCCACAGGAGTCTCCTTCTCTTCATCTCCATCTTCTTTTTTAACTTCATCCGCGTCCTTTTCTTTTCCCTCCACCTTTGCATCCCCGTCGTCCTCCTCATCATCCACCTCCATCAAAGCAGGACTATCGTCATCATCATCTAACATAGGAAACAGAGTTTTATGAGAGAAAACTACGCAGACTAGTGCACAGATGTGCACCAGAAGGGAAATACGTCATTTTATGAGCGATGTAACAAAAAAGCTCAGTGGTTTTTAGAGGAATTGTAAAACCACTTTAAAACTTGATTTATCACAGCAGAAAACATAAAGTTTCATCTTCCAAGTAGCTTAAGTTTTATTTTCAAATATGTACATTTGTTGTTTTGTTTTCTTTAAATCAAGCCAGCTTAGGGAAAGCACACGTCACGTTTAGAAACATCAGCTGATATCGTAAAGTATTTCTACAGAGGAGCGCATTTGTTAAGAAGTTTCTTTTTCAAATCAGAGTTCCCTCACCATCATCATCCTCAAGGCTCCATTTCTTGCCCTGCTTCATTTCTTCCAGCTCTTTCTTTATTTCTCCAATATTTTCTATAGCCTTCTTCCTCTGCTCCTCTCTCCATTTCTCCACCCGCTCCTTCCTCTTCCTCATTTCCTCCTCCAGTTTGTTCTGGTCAAAGTCTTGCTGCAAAGACAAGAAATGCGCCACACTTTATCTTCATTTTAATGTGAAAATCTAAGGTCAATAAAAACATTTAAAAGAAAAAACTGTAACTTACGTCCTCAACCTTCTCATCTTCCTTCTCTTCTTTCACCTTTTTCTTCTCAGACACAGGCTCAACGCTCTCTTTCTCTTTGCTCTTGGCTCTGGGGGAAAGAACAGCAACAACTAATATTAGATTTTATTTTATTCTTTGCTTAAAATCAATTCCTGGTGACTCCAGCTTTAGCTCTTTGTTTACTTGTATGGCAAGACTTTGGACGTTTGCCATTCTACTCCTCTAATCCTTTGTTAGGATGTAAATTGTTCATTTGTTTAAACATCTTAACCAGCTGAAATGAGGATTAGACCCACGATAAACATTTCATATATTTTTTAATCTTTACCTTGCAATAAATTATATAACTACCAGGTATAAAAAAAAACATTGGCAGTAAGCTCATAGAGGACTTGAGAAAAGGGCAGATGAAATGTTACCTGCTAGAATGGACCTGAGGGAATAAAGAGGAGATTTGTCATTTGTAGGAATATGAAACAAAAACTCACTTTTCCTCTGCCTTCTTGCTCTTTGACGGGCTGCCTGATCGGGACCTGCGAGTTCGGCTCCGGCTGCGTGATCTCTTCCTCTCCCGGCTTCTGGACCTCCTCCTTTCCCTCTCCCTTTCCCTTTCTCTGTCTCTGTCTCTGCTCCTGGAACGTCTGGACATCAGATACAATCATAGAAGAAAAAGGAGAAAGAAAAAAAAAAACAGCAATAGTTGAAGAAAATATTACTGGGGTCGACAGAACGAAGATGGTTGCTTTTAAACTGCCGTTAATGTCATTGTATTTCCATTTTATTTAAAGTGATCAGTTCCATCCATTCATTCAACAAGTTCTTTTCCACTTATCTGAGATCAGGTGTATTCATGAAAGCGCTTATAAAACAATTTACAGAATCAATGTGTTTTTCCAACAAATACCTGCATTAGGGCTGAAACAACGAATCAGATTAATCGTGATTAATCGAGTATTTCAATAATAATCAAATAATTTAGTAATCGATTAATCGTTAACTGGAGTATAGACTCTAACACATCCCTTTAGCTGACAGAGCAACCTACTTAGAGCAGTAGTTATAGCTAAATTGTAAAAAAATATATATATATATCATTTTACATTTAAGATTTAGAAAAAAAAAAAAAACTTGCTTTTTCAATAAACTCTATCCAGAACTCCTCAAGTGGAGAAGTTTTTGTTTTAATTTAATAAAAACTCTTCTTTAAGGAACCTTTGGCTATTCGATTATTAATCGATTAATATAAAAAATAATCAACAGGTTAATCGATTTGCTAAATAATCATTAGTTGCAGCCCTAACCTGCATCATTTCAGCCATTCGCACAGGCAGAAATGCTCAGCTTGAGTAAGATCTATTAACAAGTTAATCATTCATTTAAAGTTGATTGTATGGATCACACAGAGCAATTGTGATAACACTGTTTTGGTTCACTATAAATAAAAAAAAAAAAAACTTAAGAGACACACTTTTTTAAATTAGCATTTAATTCTGACTAGGGTAATACTGTCTCTTAGATGTCATCTTTCTGTCTGCTCCTTTCTATGCACTACTGGAAGGCTTTTAATGTCCTGCAGCGCTGCACCACTACAGCACTTTTAATGGCATGTGTTATGTATTTTTGTGTGGCTTTGTTGTAAAGCACTTTGGGTACCATTTGGCTATTGTAAAGGGCTACACAAATAAACTTGATTGATTGATAAATATATACTAGATGGAAGAAAAAAAAAGTGTATGATATAATTTCTATTTACAATCAATCCAATTAGCTATACCTCTTTGATTAATATTTAAAATTGGGTATGACAATTAAGTGTAATAATTGTGGCATTTATTTATTCAGCTAAATATTTCAAAGGAATTTTCAATTAAAGCCAGTGAGTATTATTCAGCAGCGGTTCTTCACACATGGAACTCACTGTTGTCCATGCATATCTGCTCCAGCAGATTATTGCATTCCTCTGAAACAGCCCCTGACAGCAGAGGCCTGTTAACCAGCCCTTGATTAAGGCAGGGAAAAATCAGCTGCAGCCATGTCCCCAATTTCTCATTTTCCAGCCACTTATGTTAATATTTACATTTTCCCATTCTCTAGCTTTCTCTGTGCCTCGAGCTTCTGTTCCGAACATATGGCTTTAGGATCAACCAGGAGCAGTTCCACGCAAACACTTGGAACCAGTTGCATCTGATATATTTGAGGGTTGTTTTTTTTTATAAGGCATTTTAAATGCCATGATAATCACATTTAATTAATTTTAATGCCAATTAAGGCCTTAATTTGAAAAATAATAATCTAATGACTTTTAATGATTATTAATGACCCGCAGAAACCCTGATATAGTATCGGTAACTTCAATACAAGAGTGTACTCAGTATCAGACCATAACCCTTTATATGCTTTTGTTTTTATTTTATTATCTAATTAATGTAAAGCACTATGAAATGTCCATGTAATGAATTATGCTATACAAATAATATTGCTTTAAAGGAAATTATGGTATCGAGCAAATTTGGGAAGATGATGATCAAACAGAATATGTTCATTTCCAAATAAAACTATTCCATTAAAGGAAATAGAAAATACATCAAATTAGTCAGTTTATCTATGATTAAAATGGCGATTTTGCTATCTGCATTTGAAATCCGATTTCGAGCTTAGCAACATGATAGCCGTGAGTTTATACCTGGCTCTTTTCCTGTCTCTGGACCGGGATCTTCTGCGGTCTCTGCTCCTGGACCGATCTCTCCTGTTTCGGTCTCGGTCGTCCTTCTTGGAGCGCTTGTTGTCCGGGGAGCGACTCTTTGATCGGCTGCCCGACCTTCCCCGGGACGTTGAACGCTTTCTGTAGTGTCTGTTGAAATTCAAACTATTTAAAAAATATGGTTTTCAAGAGAACTGATCCAATATAAGTTCACACCAAACAGCAAGTTTTAATAAACGTGCGACAACACCGTTCCAGTTAGCATGCTAATATTAGCATTCCATCTAAAACTGTCAATTAATCGCTTCCAACATTTATTTGGACAAAATTTAGGACCCACCTCGATTCTCGTCCCATTTCGCGTCAATAAGATTTGCACCTATAAAGGTGAAATTGATCCAAGTGTATTAAACAGTCTCGAAACGCAGAAAGGAGTTTGTTTGCATCGCAGACTGCTGCTGAAACGTAAGAAAACTGCGACATTCAACTGGGATAAACAGAGACAGCGCCCCCGTGTGGTCGGAGGCTAGATAAAATTGTTACAAAACCTGACAACTCATAACAAGAAAGCTCTTTCTGTAATTCGTAAAAGAAAAAAAAAAGTAGTAAAAAGAGAAATAATAATAATAATAATCACTTTAAGCAAACGTTTGTTATTTATTCTGTAAACAAAAAGAAACTTATGACAATTTGTGCAGATATTAATATCCAATAAAGTTCAGTTCAGTTAATTATTTCAGATATCTCAGGTATAGAAACTAAACTAATAAGAATTTTCACATTATCAGAAAGGATAAAAATAGAAGCGAAAGCTAATTTCCTCCAAACCTATTAATTACATCATAAACAAAAGTGGATTTTAAACTAGCTGACAAGACTCTACAGAATGATTTATAAGACACTATTAGGATAATTATCATTGATGATGTGTGAGTTTATTACACCTTAATATCAGCTGCCTGTTACGTGTCAAAAGTGATGTTTTCCACAATAGTTTATCTAATTAAGACCTATCCTCTGTCCGGATATACAGTTATAATCTTCATTCTGTACGTGGCAAATATTTGGGAATGAAATTAGAGCGGTGTCCTTCAGCTACAAACAAAGTGTAATATTGTGTCTAATCATATCTACTCACCTGCTAACATAAATGATGTAACGATGTGATGATGTTGCAGACTGGAGATATATAAAACGCCTTTTTAACTGTTAATCAGGGCCGCTTCCTGAGAGGTGAGCCCAGAGGTGAGCAGCTGCCTTCTGTAAACTCTAAGCAATTTCTCTGATCTGAGTAAATTTACAACTTCTAATAGAATCTGTTGTCACGTCTCCTGGTTATTTAATACATACAAGTAATGAAATGTTATTTAAAGGGTTTGTCCTGAGTGATCTCTTTTCAGGAAAAGTAACTGGAGAGATAGAGCTTTAAGGTGCATACACAGAGAATATCTTTAACAGCACAAACATTAGTATTTTATAGGGAAATATTTCACACAGATTACAATCCATAGAAGGTCAATCATTTTCATTGATAGTTTAAAAACAATCTGCTTTATTTCCAGCATAAGAGTTTATCATTTTTTTCTTTTTTTATGTTTTTTAAACTGATTAAGTTTAGAACAGTTGTTTAGCTCTGAATTCAGGTAATTCCATGTATTCACCCCAACATACAAAGCTGCTTAACATTTATCCTAACTTTGGCTTTTTCAAACACGTCAATGCCTCGAAGATTATAAACAACAGCTTTCCTTTTTAACAATCCTTAGATTTCAACAGTTAGCTTCTTTAAATGATACATAAATTGGGCAGTTTTAAGTTCAACCAAGTCTCTAGATTTTAAAGCTTTCCTCCTAATTACAGCAACAGGTTTGCATATATTTTTCATAGGCTGCTGTATTCACAATTCCGATTGCACAATTTGAACAACACAAATTGGATCAAGATTAGTTTTATATTTATATTTTTCACAGAACCAAATAACTATACAACAGATATGTTTTTTAATTCAAGAAACTTTGGCTTTTAATGTTATTGATGATTATTTACATAACACTGACTTAATATAACTTATATAAGGTTTCCAGTCTATTTTGTATAATTATTCCAAGGAACTTCACTGCATTTAATTTTTGTTTCTCACTATCATTTGATTTTATTTATTTTTTGTCCATGTCAATGTCTCAATTATCAAAAATTAAGAATTTAGTGTCATTTAAATTTAGTTTATGTGAATCAAACCATATCTTGAATGGTTAATTATTTTCCAACAAAGCCATTAACGTTCTTAGATTCTCATAACACACTCTATTAGTGTCATTAGCAATAATATAAAATGTGGCACACTTGAAATTAAACACACTTAGCAGTTTCTGTCTTAGTCAGTTAAATAACATGCTGCTGTAATTTTTTTGCACATATCTGGCATTGCTGCGATTTTTCATACATCCATTACTGTAAAAATGTCCACAGCAGTTATTGATTTTTTTTTATTCTCCAGATAGAATATTTATATTGTAAAAACACCATACAGTACAATATTTGTTTTATTTTCCTATTATTTTTTTTGCACTTTTCTAAGGTGGTCATTGTGTGACCACTTCTACTATACCTTTGCTTCTGTAAACACCACAATTTTCCCATTGTGGATATCCTATTCTATTCTAAGTCATTAATAAACCCAATAAACATCAAACTGACCCCTATGGGACATTGTAAGACAGTCAGCAGCTGGTACTCGCTGATGCGGACGTATTGTTCTGTTTTCCAAATAGCCCCTGATCCAAGAAAAGGCCACACTTCCTATTCTGTATCTGTTTTTTTTATTTTTTACAGGAATTCATGGAGCATATTGTTTTTTTGTTTTGTTTTTTAAGTCTATTGCATTTGATGCAAGATCTACTTGTGGTAATGTGGTTTTCATATTGGGTGACATGAGGTCTATGATTTGTAAATTCCTGTTAATCTCTAGTCCAATAAATGGGATGACTTTTGCAATTTTCATTCCAGCTGGGAATATCCCAGACTGTGGAGACAGATTTAAAACCCTAACCCTGACCCAACACATCAAATCATTTCTCTAATATTAACATAACCACACTGTTCCTGTCAGCTAACTTTTGTTTTGCTTTGCAGTTTATGACAATTATCGGGATTTCACTTTCCACCGAAGCTTTAAGAAATATTTATCTTCATAAAAAGAAAAGATTAATATGAAATCTATCTTATCTAAGTTTTTTTTTGTTAAAAATTCATCTTTTTTGATGTAGTTTACTATTCCTTCAGCCAAGTTTAATCTTTATTAGTAAAATAATGGTTAAATTGATTTGCAATTTCTTGCAATCCCAGACAGTTTTTAACAACTGTCTGGGATGTCAGCAGTCTGATTTTCTTTCTTTTTTTTTAAAGAAGTAATTCTACTTGATCTTATATTAATAATCTATTTCTAAAATAAAAAAAAATAAAAGCATAAAAATATACTAAATTACCCAGAAAACATTGGTTAATGCAAGGTTTTTACATTTAAGAAAATAAGTTATATAAAGACTTCTTGAAAAAAAAGAATATCTTTACATAACTAATTTCTTTTAAAACAAACATAAAAACCAAGCATTAACCTCTTTTTTCTAGGTAAGTTAGTATAATTTTCATTTAAAGTCTTCAAAATTGAATTTTAAACCGTATTCATGTTACCCACACTTCATCCTAGCTTTGTTTGATTAATTCACTTTTAAATAACTGAATTGCTGCTTGGGGAAACATGTCCAGTACATTTGTTTTATTTTCTTCATTTGATATACTAACCTTTTTTCTTTTTTAATCCCCATAAAGACTGATAAATGATCAGGTATATGCGTCCACTTTCAACACCATTGGTAAATATATTATCTATCAAAGTTGCACTATTTTTATTAGTTGCGTTGGTCTTTAATTTGATATAAGCACAAACTTACATCTAATATCACTATAACAGCAATGGCCAATAACTAATGCTGAAGAGTAAAAACTCATTCATTATGTTATTGCATAGAGTTAATTTCAAGACATCTTTTTAATTTTGATGATTATGGCTTACAGATGGATAAAAAATAGTTGTTTCAGAAAATTAGAAATGTCAGATTTATGAAAAGTTTTCTTTCTATACAACGTTTGGGCTCCTTATGCAGTTCTTAGAGAACAAATTTAATAAGATATTTTTTTTTTACATAATGTTTGTCCTTAAAAAAATGAACAAACAGAAGAAAGAAGACTTCACACATTGGGCCGTTTATTTTCAATAGGAACTCCTTAGTTTGAAACATCATTTTAAATCTGTTTTAGCGATACTACATCAGCATTTTAAAACAGTTTTAGAATAGATTTATCAAAACAAATATGAAACAGAGCAGACAAGCTGTTGAATAAATCACATCAATTCATTCACATGGAACAAAATATATTAATTTAGGATTAAATTAGAATTGGAAGGAAGGACATGACAGCAGAGGAGCTACTACACCAAGACTTAAAGGAAACCACTGGGATTATCAAACACCAGTAAACTCACAAACAGCCACTGGCTCACATATGAAGTGAACTGCAGCCTTATCACAGACACACAAAGCAATACTTTTTTTTTCTCTCAACTTGTTCTGCAGTTAAATGCTTTTCAGAGGAAAAGAGAAATGCAGCCGTCCTCTGAGGACAGAAAAACAGCAGCCGCTAACGCATCGTCTACATTCACTGGTTATTAAAAAAATTAAACTATGACACCTGACCGCAGATCCTTTCAAATGGCTTCAACTGAAGGATGGAGAGATAATGATGATTCCTTCATTCCCTGCGTATAAAACATACGTCCTCAAGTTCATTTACCTTTCAGACTCTCTAGTAGATCAGTAAGACACATTCCTCCATAATTAAAACAATCTAAGGTAGTGATAACCAACCTACCAGCTCCAAGTCAGTTACATCATTATAAAATAGCCCTCCCCTGTAGTGGAATAAAACATCTTCTAAAGACTCCATTATAGCCGATCATGACCACTGGTCACGCTGTTGATCCCCTTTAGGGTTTGATGAGTTTTGTTTAAACTAAACTAACTCAGAGCGATCCCCCGCTGATAGATATTTAGTGTGAGCACAGAAAATTCACATTGGAGCATCAGTAGAGCACAGAAAGATACTTATTATCCCTGGTTGTTAAGAGTGTTGTGAGACCTGCCCAAGGTGGCTTAGAATCAGTCAGTTACAGAAAAGGTAAAGCGAAGATGCAAAATGACCAACAAACCTTTCCTGTCACATTTTTGTCTTCTTTACGTCGGTGAATATTAAGCTTAGAAATAATCCAAGGCTTCAATATTTGCTGATTCACAATGTTTCTCCTTTTATGATGTACTTCATTAGGCATAATAATGTCATTGAGCAGATTCTGTAATAAAGCTTATGTCTATCAATTTCACAAAACTTTTCCAGTTCCCCACTAATCTAGTCAGGTGAGACCAAAGCTGGATTTTCCGCTCTATATACAAATACCTACATGATAGATGTGGAGGAAAACTAACACTGAGGAAACCATCCTTTAAGCACGGTGGCTGCAGCATTATGATGTGGGAAGATGGGTGAAGCTAAAAGAAAACCCGTTGGTGCATCAAAAGACTTTAGACCTGTATGGATGTTAACAAATGTTGTTCAAAGCTCCAAAGGTTTGTCCAAACTAACTGGGATTCCTGTTTTCAAAGTTCAGGCTCATTACTGTAAACAATAAGACAAGTTGGAGGGAAACTAATCAACCTGTTGCCCCTTTGCAGAACAAACTACTGATCCAGCTGCTTGTTTCTAATATCTAAGGATTCCAACAATATGGAGCTGCATAATTCAGCACATCTCAGTCAAGTCCAGGCTACCTCCTAAAGGACTCCCTAGATATGATGCATTTACAGTCTGCATACCAACACTTTATTTAAACAAGTAAAGGGGTTTGGCTGCCTTTGATGTTAGAATCTAATATAGAGTTTAGAGATGAAGCCCAGCCCAGCAACCAATGTATTATCATCAGAAAGCAGTGTGAAATCTGCTTGAACAAATTAGTAACAGCCGCTCATGTGGTCACAGTTCATTAGTTGTGATCTTAGCTTAAGCTGAAATAAAGCTGTTTCAAAGTCTGCTGCTTGTAAAATCACTTTGAACAAAGGAAGGAAACCCTGGTTTATTTATCTGCATTCATTGCTACTTTGCTCCACTTGAAACAGTCGATGAAATAATATTTCCTCCAACTGAACTTAGTTTTAACACTTGAAGTGCTGTAGCACGTTTCCCCATTTCCTTTTTAATGGTTGAACTGGAATCTGGGGTTTTCCAGCATGCAGTTTTCTATAATCGCTCAAAGATGGACCGTATTATACAACAAAGACATTTCCCGCCTCTTCCTGAGCTTCTGCATGCAGTAAATTCAAGTGGTATATACACTGGGGTCTGAACACATTATCACCCGAAGAAGAGGGGTGCACACCTGATATTAAGGCAGCAGAATGTAAACAGGGAAACAAAAAACACCAGGGGGCGCAACTGAGCACAGCTGGTTGGTATGAAGGGGAGAAAACAGGGAGAGGGAGTAACAAGAAGCCGAGCAGAGCTTATGTCAGGGCGTCTCTGAGCCGAAGAGCAACAAGATCTCATGAGAGATGATGAAGGTGAAGAAGTAAACGCAGAGATCGGAGAAGACGTCGCCCATCCTCCTGTAGGTGTCCATGGAGCGGTTGATGACTTCGGCAGGGATGCCGGAAAGCAGCAGGGCAGCGGTCAGCACAGTGGTTTTGGTTTTCTTCTCCACCTGAAGAAGCAGAAGGACATGAATTATCAGCAGGTCCGTGAAATAAAAACTATATTAAACATAGCAGCGTAAAGAAAAAGACGCAATCACAATGCATGCTCTTATATCTCTTAGACATGTGAGGTCAGACTGAGGCTCACACTAAGGATCATCTGAGATGGAGAAAAAAAAACGGAATCTTCATGCAGCTCTTTGATTATGGCAACTAAAAGGATACAGTTTATTACTTTAGATACGAAACATGTCAACTTTAAAAAGAAAACTATTTCTCCACTTTTTCAGAAAAATATGAGTACAATTCACCTGAAAACCAAGAAGAGCTTTAAGAGAAATAGCAATTGAAAAAAAAAAATATATATATATCCAATGGTTCACCCAGAACTTCATTTTGGTTTTGTTAAGGTTAGTGATTTTTTAATATTTAGCGTAAAAAAAAAAAAAATTACTTTACATGTGAAGAAACTGAATCCCACACCATGATGCTGCCCCCCGCATGTTCCCCAAAATATAACTGTTAGGTTAATTGGCTTCTCTAAATGGTCCTTAGGTGTGTGTGTCTATGCGTGAATGGATGTATGTCCTGTTTGTCTCTGTACTGCCCTTCCACAGACTGGTGACCTGTCCAGGGTGGCCCCCACCTCTTGCCCATTGACAGCTGCTGATAGGCACAAGCACCCCTCGCGACACCAACTGGGATAAGTGTGAAGGAAAATGGATGGATGGATGGATGGATGGATGTAGAAATAAAAAAAGCTACCGTACTTGGATCGTGTGACATTAAATCTAATCTTTATGGCTGGTTTTTCATTGGTATTAATCTGGTGTTTAGAGTACTTTCAGAAAAAAATGCTAACTTAATGGTACTAACACATACAGCATATATATATATATATATATATATATATATATATATATATATATATATATATATATGAATATTTTTTTTTCTTATTTTTTGGTTTAATTGTATGGGATATTTGTGATATAAAAGGGGGAAATTCTTTTTAGTTGACAATATTTTCTTTTGAGATCCACTTCACACTGATGAAAAACTGGCTATTATGACATAATAATAAAACTAAAATGAAGGATTTAAATTTCAGCATCAAATAAGCATTATTTGCATTCAGTGAAAAAACAAAACGCAAAGTGTTGTTACCTTTGGAAAGTATTTAGACAATCCCATGTAGGCCAGTTCAAGGGTCAGAAATGGAGCAAATATCGACTGGAAGAAAGAAATCAAGGAGCAGTGTCACTTCAGCTATCAACATACAATAACAGTGGTTGATTGTACTTTTCTGAGTATCTTAAGAAATCATGAGATTGGTCAGAAAAGTGTTATGTTTACAGCAGATTCACCCACCAGATACTTGCAGACAAAAACCCTGACAAAAACAGCGAGGAGGATGCTGCCGATCAGCCTGAAAACCCGAAACGGATCAAACTCCTCTATCTCAGAATCTCCCTCCTGAGTGGGCTTCTCACTGGCCAGCTGACTCCGGAGTTTCATAGCATCGTCCAAGCGAGATAAATACTGCTGGAAGCCTCTGCGTGGAGAGCCGCTGACCTCATCTGATCCAGCCCGCTCACCCTTCGCTCTCTGTCGAAGACCTGCTAAGTCACCCTCTAGAGAGGCTCTACGAGGCTCACTGAAGTCTGGCAGAGGGGAGCCCCTCCTCTCTGGGGTGGCAGTGTGGGAGCGGGCGCCTGGAGCCTCTGACAGGAAGGGAGACGGTCTCTGGGAGGCCGAAGACAGGGTCCATGGCTCTGTTCTGTCCAGGTCCAGGTGGAAGCGGGGCTCTGTGGGACGCCGGGAGGCTCCTGCAGAGGAAAATCACAGATCACAAGTTTGATATAAATGCAACTTTACAGCTAACAAGGTAAAATAGAGGGGTCAAATGTGGTCTACAGGGTCCACCTCTGTCTGAAAGCTGAGTGAAACTGCTTCAAAGAATAAAACCAGGCATCTAATGTCACTACTGTTGGCAATACTGTAATTTAAGTAAAGAAAAAGCTAAAGGTTAATTTAAAAACCTAATCAGCAAAGCAAAACAAATAAATTTAATAAGGTAAAAATGTCATTAAAAAAATTAATAACCAAAGTCCCTGTATCGGCATTCATTTTCTGAAGGTTCTTTAGTGCCAAAAAATGTGGATGTAATGTTTGGGTTTCCAAAGAGCCCCTGATCCAAGAAAAGGCCACACTTCCTATTCTGTATCCACTTTTCATGGAGCATATTGTTTTTTTTTATTTTTTTTTAGTCTATAGCATTTGATGCAAGATCTACTTTTTAGTGCCAAAAATGTAAAAAGTGTTTTACTTTTTTTTTTTATATAGAGGCACTCATTGAATTTTATTTACACTATTAGAACAAGTGACTGTTTTACGGTTATTACACTGACCTTGATTTTTGCCATGAAAATAAATTGTTCCTTTAATGTAATTTGGATCTTGTTCTGTCCTCCAATAATAGCCTTGACTTCAAATATGGAATTTTAAGTATTTAATTGAAAGCCCTTAAGAGGGTTAACCCTTTCTAATTATTCATTTCTAACTATTAATCATTGCAAAAAAACAAAAAAACAAGCAGGCCTCCTGGTTGCAAAAGGGCCCCACATCATCACACCTCCTTCACCGTGCTTAACATAAGGAGTGTTTCACTAATCTGATGCATTCGTTCAGATGTGGACAGTTAATCTATGGGTGAATCACTGATTAGGAGATGGTGCTACGTGTTATTTCTATTAATTGTTAATGTTCAGACATGAAGTGTAATGGGGGAGATTTGGCTGTAACCGCGTACCGCTGTTATCAGGCTCCTTTTTGGTGGAGCCTACGATTCTGTTCATCCTGTCCTCCGAGTTGAGCAGCAGTTTCCTCCTCCGTTTCTCCGCACGCAGCTGAGCCGCAGAAATGGAGCCCGTCTTTTCCTCCACGGACTCCATGATCGAGTGAGGCTCGGAAAAAACACAAAAATATCTGCAAGTGGCCTTACAGCTCACTGTCGATGAGACAAAAGCTTCTGCGTCAGGAATATTTGATGGCAAACAGAACAGAATGAAAGGAGGCAGCGCACAGTGATGTCGTCATCTGGTGGGGACAAACAGGACGAGGGTTTATTTACTCCCTGGACGCTGCCTCACAGGCAGGCATACAGAGCCGTTTCATTCAAAATCAAATTATAAAAACTGTTATTAAAGTATCAACATTCCATCAAGCAACTAAATGAGTGTGTCCATTTATTTTCAATATTCATGATATTTGTATTTATCTGTAAATGTATATTTATTTCAAATTATTAAAATGTATTCAATTAAGAGTGTTTTAATTTGTGACACTTTTCTGTAAAGCTGCTTTATGAATTTGGCCCTTTATTTTTTAACCGTTTTTATTTCAGGTTCTTAAATTCTGATTGCTTTAAATTTTCTAAGGAGATCCAGTTGATAGTATAACCACTGAATTTGCAGAATCCACTCCTTCCCAAGTATGTAAAAAAACATTAGATGAAAAGCTTTCCTAGCATGCATGCAGTGATAGTCGAGGAAGGAGGAAACCTCCAGTAGAACCAGGCCAACAGGGCGCTGAAGTTATTAAGGCAAGGCAAGGCAAATTTATTTGTATAGCACAATTCAGTACAAAGACAATTCAAAGTGCTTTACATGATTAAAATACAGGAAGATAAAACAGAATCAAAGCAAGTAGGAAAAAATTAAAGTTAAAGTAGACATGTTTATTTTATCAAGAGAAATGCAGAAACACAAAACTCTTGGTACCAGTCAAATATCACAAAAAGCATAATACATCTCTATGTATCAAACCGTTCAGAATCTTATTATTCCTTCTTTTCCCTTCTTTTTATTAGGTATAATTAACAGTAAAAGCAAAATTGATTTTGTGGTACAAGTCAAACCAAGCCTAATAGAAGTTTTTATGCTTTTATTGATTTTTGTTAAGTCAGGAAACATTTGAGTATTTTCAACAAGTTTAGTTTTCAGGCTCTTGAGAGCCAGTTCCCAGCTGTGCATTTTGGACACTCGTTTGTTACCAACACCTTTCTTCCGAGCTTACCCCATTCCGTACTCATATTCTTAACCATTAATAATTCATTTCACCTGGTGATCACATGTTTTTATTGAATTGTGCACAGAAATGATCAAAGCTGACATATAGTTCTATCCATCCATTTTCTATCATGATTATCATGGGATAATTCAATTATATTTATCATTTTATAAACACTTTACAAAGCTTTTTTTATTTTTTAAAGATTGCATGTTCTCCCTGTGCATGCTTGGACTCTCCGGGTACTCCAACTTCCTCCAACAGTCCAAGAACATGACTTTTAGGTTAACTGGCTTCTCTAAATTGTCCTTAGGTGTGAGTGTGTGCATGGTTGTGTGTCTTTGTTTGTCTCTGTGTCACTCTACCGGTAAGCAGGAGAAAGTGGACGGATGGATACTGGCATTACAAATTCATGGTCATTCGTTACTTTTTAACAAAAAAACACACTCAGTTATTAAATAACACAGTTACTCCCATCAATGGTATTGATGTCCATGTTGAATTTGACAAATTAACTGGCTTCAATAGGAGGGATTTCATTTTTCCTTCTTGTTAGATATGCCAAAACTACAGCGACAGCTGCAGCAATGACGGCCACGCAGACTAGTCCACCATGTCCTCGATAGCTTCCAATATGCTCTCTTTGGTCATCTTTGACATCTGCAGATCAGAGACAATTGGATCGGCTTAGACTGGTGAGTCACAACAATTTAATTTTCTTTTTAATATGTATTCTATATTGTCTCATCAGGTAGCATATTTAGGAAAAAAACAGATCTCAGGATACTAACTCACATTAAAAACCAGAGAGACAAACCAAACTCCCTAACTCACCAGGAAAGACAACATCCAGGTTGATGATGCTGATTGGCTGCATTTTTAAAACTGCTCTCTTTCCTCGGTTTGTGTCTCCTTGGATAACTCGACATTCATACCTGCCTCTATCATCAGTCGTCACATTCTGAAGGGTTAAAGACACATCTCCAGCTTTTATTTTGCTGTCCAGGAGATTCACTCGGTTCTTAAAAGCTGGCTCCTGGTTCTCTAAATCAAGCTGGTCGTCCCTGTACAAAAGAAGATACTCTTTCGAATCAGCCCTGCTCCACTCTGCAACTTTTACAGGGCTGTTTTCAGGAGCGTGGCAGGGAAGAGTGACGTTTTGTCCAAGTTCAGCTGAGAGGTTTTTCTCAGCTGCAGAAATAAAACACAAAGAGTTGATATGTTAAAACAACAAAACATGCTTTACATTATAAAACACTTTATATTGCATATTGCATCATATTTCAGAAATTTAATATCCATTACTTCTAGAATTCAACCAGGAATGGTAATGGGTTTAATTGGTCCTTTAGAAGGTTTTCTGACATTTTCAAAATAAAAGTCTAAATGTCTTTTAGTTACTGTTGCATTTTCAGCTTGTAGTAGAACTCAGTGGGATTTTAGCGTAGTTCTTATGCTTGGTATGCAACGTTACACTTAACATAAAACAATTACTAGGCCTGTGGAAGAATGCTTGCTTGCTTTTCACAGCCCTGAAATCATTCCACCGCTAAGAATAATAAAAAAAAAGTGATCACTAATGATCAACTATTTGATTCATTAATGTGTTACATTAACACCTGAATGAAATTACAACAAAACAGATATATGCAGGTGACCTTTGATCCACAAGATTCGATATGTCACAATGAGCCTTTTTGATTCAACCGCATTTATTTGATACATTTTCATAAAAATAATACAATCATAATCTCACTGGATTTTAAGGTTTTCAAGGTTTTGACAGGAAATCTGGTAGCCTAACTTCTCCAAACCTCTAGCCATGCAAGGACCACCACATACCAAGCTGTCCTTTAGAAATTTTCTTAGGATTTTAAATTTTCAAGTTATAAAGAATTATAACCCATATATATTATATTATATTATATTATAAGCCATCCGTGTTTTGTTTACATTCAGAGATGCTAAGTGACAAAGTACAAATCCTTTACCTTAGTCAAGTAGAATTTTTGGCTATCTATACTTTACTGAAGTAATTATTGTAGTTATATGTAGTTTTAGAGCTAGACCACTTCTAGTGTGATATGAACACATAAGTGTTATAAATCAGTTTTATTGAAGTCTCACTAATCTCTCACTAAAGTTTTTACAAATCTGAAACCTGGTTTTAATTATCCTACAATTAGTTTAGAATAATTTAGTCCATGTTTGATGTGTCTAAGTGTTGTAGTTTTAGAGCTAAACCACTTCTAGTGTGACATGGACACTAAAATAAAGTGTTAAAATCAGCTTTCACTGTTTCACAAATCAGAGAAAAATTTCACAAATTCCAAACCTGGTTTTAATTATTATTTAAGTACTTTAGAATAATCTAGTCCAGGTTTGATGTGTTTAGGTGTTGTAGTTTTTTTTTTCGTAATTAGAGTAAATAAAAAATGCTGAAGGCAGGAAAAAATTAAGTGGAATCGCCCTTTAATCATATGCCAAATCGGAAGCCAACTTCAGCTTCGACAAATATTCCAGTTTGATAGTTTTGCCGCGCTTCAAAATGTAGGCATACACTTTTATTTTGAAAACAGGAAGTCGGTACACGATGTAGCCATTTTCCCTCGCCCGGTTATTTTACCGTAAAGTCTCAAATAGGGGTGCACTTGAAGTGTTGGATGAGAGGTTTTCCCGGAGGGAAGAGGGGAATTAACCGGAGGGAAAACTCTCTGTTTCCAATGACTTCCAGCACATGTGGTTGACAGAGGGACACCTCTAGAACACAACCACAAACTGACAGCAACATCTGATGTGTCATTTCAAAATAAAACACAATTAAAAAGGCACTTTTTGACTTTAAGTTGCCTTGCCCATTGCCAGGCGCGCTGGAAGCTGTTTCAAGCGAGGGGGGCTGATGGCTGGGTTGGAAAACACGTGACGTCATTATGTTGAGGGCTGTGGCTGACGTTTTTAACATAATATTGTAGGCCTACATTTGTCGCCAAAAACTGCCATTTAAATTGCATCGGAACAAAGCATGAACATTTTAAACTTTATTTCTTCTCTTTTAATCATTCAAAACAAACAACAGCTCCCAATCAACAGGATAAGGAATACTTGAATGAAACATGGCCTAAATATAGCCTAAACTGAGCATTGAACGTCTTGAAAGTCCATTTGACTATGGATATGGGGAATGATTTTATATCTGAAAAAAAAAATTAACTAAATTATTATTTTATCACTAAATAGCTTAATACAGACATAATATTTAGTGATATGCAGCCTTATTCTAGCGTAGCCTTCTTCAGCCACAGGACTACGACGAATAGGCACAGCATATAGAAATAAATAAGAAATAAATACCGCTAAATAAATGCTTGGCGGCAGTATAGGGGAATTAAAACCATTTCTTACCTCGGAATAGTCAGAAATACTTTTCTGCTGCCTATTGCTAGCCATGCCTAAACGAATGTGAGGTTGCGGAAGCTTCCGGGGGAGTAGTCTAGTTTTTTATGAAATATTAAAATAATGAATCATTAGTTTATATCAAACACAGTCTTTTAAAAAATAAATACATAAATAATGTCATGTTTTTAAGTACAATATTATGTTACTCCACAGCCCCCACCATGGGGGGCTGATGCTATGACGAGGGAGGCTGCAGCCCCCGCAGCACCCCCCTTCCCGTGCCACTGCCCATTGCTGGAAAACTCTCTGTTTCCAATGACTTCCAGCACATCTGGTTGACAGAGGGACACATCTAGAACACAACCACAAACTGACAGCAACATCTGATGTGTCATTTCAAAATAAAACACAATTAAAAAAGCACTTTTTGACTTTTTTTAACCTAAGTTGCCGTGCCCATTGCTGGAAAACTCTCTGTTTCCAATGACTTCCAGCACATCTGGTTGACAGAGGGACACCTCTAGAACACAACCACAAACTGACAGCAACATCTGATGTGTCATTTCAAAATAAAACACAATTAAAAAAGCACTTTTTGACTTTAAGTTGCCTTGCCCATTGCTG